ACTTACAGATGCAGTATAGTATAGTACAGTATCATATGTCACCATAGGTAAATCATCATCAGTTTAAAAGTAGATTTGTCAGACACTAAGTCATTATCAACAAGCATTAACCCATTCAACACACATGGAAATAGTTATTGAGACTATTCCTTCCATCATTCATGATAGGTAACATGAATGATGGAAGGAAATCTCTCCTGTTCCATTTGATAAAGATAACCTATTTTTATACAAAGAAAAAGCTGTGAGCAATGAAGCCTTACTGATCACTTACTATAATCTAAAAAGGCAGGATAGAAAATCTGGCTGAGTTAAATGTAAAATATTAAAGGAAATACATAATGGAAACACACTAGTTTGCCTCTTATGTAAATTCATTCTAATTTTGATTGTTGGATAAATGAAATATTCTTTTTCAGAAGATTGTCTGGCTCTTAGACAATGCTGATTGCAAACAGTATTTGCAAACAAAGTCCTTTTCATTTGAACATGCCCCCCCCCACACACATATTTTGCACATGGAAAATGCTCACAGCATGTAGCAAACGTACTCCATCTTCTTGCACATCTTTTCTTGCTCACCGACACAGACGCTCGTGCTTCCTTCCTGAAAAAGTTCTGCATTTCAAAACATCTCTTGAAACAAATATGTGTAGATTTCTTCTTATTTGCTAGCATGCGTTTATACCACAGGAAACTTGTTGAGGTTTAGTATTTGCTCCAGAAAACCTCCGGTAGCAATTTGTATCAAGTGAAGCAATGAAATTCACAAGGAGCAAGATTGAACTCAGTCAAAAAGTCATTTATGACTCCATTCAATGCTTTGGCTTTCTAAGGGCGACAGCAAATGTCAGCATGGTTACAGTCTGGAAACGCATTGCTTGACATCAGGAAAGAATTTTGACCTGCCAATAATGGAAGTTCTTTTTCTTCTTCCTTAATAGCCTTGCACAAAGCAGAGGGAGAAGTTTACTGGGCTTCACCTTGGCATTTGAAGAAAGAAAAGAAATGGTCTTTCCCCAAACTGTGTTAAATTAAAGGCTCCTGACAGCCCTGCCAGTAAAGGCAGAAGGTTGAGGAAGCAGCAGCAGCAGCGTTCTTCGATGAATAAGCCATCTTGTGGAGTGAAAAGGGTTAATGAAACATCGGTGCCCTTTGTGAGAAAAAAGAGGCTTGAAAGCTGGCAAAGCCACTTGTCAGGAAAACTGAAGAAATGAGAAAAGCTCTCATAAAGTGTGACTTTTTGTCACCATTAACCTCCTACCACATGCTAAAGCAGATGGGATTTCTTTGGACATGTGCCAGATACTGAGTTCTTAAAAGTCTAGAAATAAAAAGCTCAGCACTGAATGCAGCCAGTGATAACACAGAGCCTTTTCTCACACATCTCCGTGGTTGTAAAATAAAGGCAATTGCTCCCAGAGTTACCACAAGTAGCGGCTTCATGTCAGATTTATTCTCACAGCCTTTTCTTATTCCGAACCTCTGCTTCCAGCTCTTGCTGCCTCTCCATTCTGTCCCATAGTGCAAAAAATATGTGTATTTTATATTTATGTTTAATTTTTTATTGTTCCAAAGGTAGGGCAATTCACAATGAATTGGAAAATGACATTTGAAGGACTCAAGAGGAGCCAGGCTTTAAAACTGAATGTAAGTTATTGGAAGGGTCTTTGTAATAGAAAATTGGAGTTACTCTCTTGCTAGAGACATACAGTAAAGTTGAGATGCTCAGAAGGTTTGGCACATGCGGTGTCACGCACTAGAAGAAAGATCTTAAGCAAAGACACAAGAGCTTTGTAAGACAATGAAATAAATAGAATGAACACATTTTCCAGGATGGTATACAGACCCCTGCCTTGGGCAAGGAGTTGGACTAGAGCAGGGGGTCTCCAAACTTGGCAACTTTAAGACTTGTGGACTTCAACTCTCAGAGTTCCTCAGCCAGCAAATTCTGGGAGTTGAAGTCCACAAGTCTTAAAGTTGCCAAGGTTGGAGACCCCTGGACTAGAGGATCTCCCTTTCAAACCTACGATTCTATATACGGTTGCTATAGGTCTCATGCAGTAGTGGGTTTCAAATTTTTTTACTACCGGTTCTGTGGGTGTGGCTTGTGGGCGTGGCAGGGGAAGGATACTATAAAATCTCCATTCCCACCCCACTCCAGGGGAAGGATACTGTAAAATCTCCATTCCGTCCCCAATCTGGGGAAGGTTACTGCAAAATCCCCATTTCCTCCCGATCAGCTGGGATTTGGGAGGCAAAGAATAGATGGGGATGGGCCAGTTAGAATTTTTACTACCGGTTCTCCAAACTACTCAAAATTTCCGCTACTGGTTCTCTAGAACTGGTCAGAACCGGCTGAAACCCACCTCTAGTCTCATGTACTGATAATTATACATTACCAATAAGCAAACTAAGAACTAATTCAAACGAAGGGTGGTTCTAAGGATGTAGTCACTTGAGATACTACTGGAAGGGACTGGTTACTAAAGATCTGTTTGCCCATAAATAATGGCAGAAAATTATATTAGAATATTAACAAGTTTTTTTCTAATATTCTAGTGTAATTTTCAAAACAGAAATTTTGTTCCTGTTCCATAGCTATGTGGGTATCTGGATTAAAATGGATTATGAACTGTATCATCTGGGAACAGCTGGAGCTGTGATGCCATATGTAAGTAGCTCTCTGAGGAATGGAATGCCTACAACTAGCTGAAATTTATTAAATATTGTGGGATTCATAGAGGCATTTACATGATTATCTACATGATTATTCCAAGTGCAGCAGCAAAAGCACTGGAGATGTGCCTTGGCAGAATGGAATAACTTGCCGTGGCCAACTTGTTGTGGCCAACTTGCCATTGTCAACTTGCCACAGCCGTTTTGCAGTAGCTAAATTGCTGCAGTCAACTGGCCATGCGACAATTCAACAATTCAATTAATTTATTTAAAATAACTTTTAAAATATTTTAATTTTTGTCATTCACATTTCATTTTGTCCCTCTTTTTGCATCCTTTCTTTAATGATTCTATTCCACATTTCTTTGATATTAGTGTAACTCTTGTCCATGGCAAGTCATCCCATAGAGAGTTATGTGGTAAGTTATCCTGCGGCAAGTTGGCCATGACAAACCTGGCCAAGCGAGTTGTCCTAGACCATAACTTGGTATGCTCATATGACACCATTGTGTTATGAGCTATACTGTTTACCACTATTCTTTTAGGTTGATCCTGGCCATCGCTTTCAAAGACTTACATAGCATAGGACCAGGTTATATGGAGGACCACCTATCCCATGATTTCTTTCTGGCTGGTATATGCCAGCAGAATTGGTGTGCTCTGAGTTTTTTCAATTGAACAATGCCATCCATTGCAACTTAGGAAGTGTGCCTTCTCTGTCACACTATCTTATCTTCCAGAATGAAATTTTCCCTGAAGCCCAAGTTGCTCCAATCCATCTTTGTATTCCATCTTAGGTTATGATGCATGGAGCCCTTGCTTGGTTGGGTATGTTTCTGTATAGATTGACTGGAATCCAAACTGCTTTGTGCAGTATTGTGCTTTTATTTTTTTTATTATATTCTGAGAAGCCTAGAGTCAGTTTGGCGTCAGCTGGTAAATTATAATGATTAGATATTTCTCCTAGAGAGAAGTTGGATATGTCAACTCACTATCTTGAAACATGATATACAAATGATCTTATGGATCCATTTGCTTGCCTAGCTAAATATCACAATTCTATGATATTTACTGCTATAAATTATAAAATGGCACCACACTTGAATGATGCTTGGAAGATATTTCTTTATTGTGATAAAAATGGCTACAACACTAATTTTCTATGTTATCGTGCCTGATTACATAAAAGTCTTAAGAAATACCATAAAGAAACAGACTAATATTAACATAATATACTAGCATCATATTCCATATTAAGTCCCAATGCTAAGTTAAAAGTATGCTTGTGTCAGGTTTGTTGTCTTCTATCCTATGCACCATTTTATAATCACAATAGATTGTAGGATTATATCTCAAAAGTTCTCATGCTATAGTCTTTATAATCTATCCATTTCGGAAGCCAAAATTAAAAAAGGGCTGAAGTATTGCTTTATTTCTGCCTCATCACAGTAAAGTTGGGCAGACGTCTAAGCACTTGTTATACACAAGTAATAATTTATTCACAATTGTTTGTATAAAGTACAGAATGGTTGGTGTAAACTGATACATTAAGGAGCCTAGCTAAGTGAATGTGTGACAGGCAAATATAGGCCACAAGGAAACAGTAAAGTTTTATCTTCTCCAGTACTCTTACGGAGAGTATCCATAATCTGATACTCTCACTAAGATTACTATAAATAATAAACTTTTCATTTTAAAAGAAATATGTTTTCAGAAAGATAAGATTAAATCTGAATTTATTCTGAAGCTGCTTCTGTTAGTGATAATGTGGACTTCTACGAAACTGTGTTTTGTATTTTAAATACCATTGTATTTATATCCACAGCTCTTGGTCCCTCTAGTTAATTAAAATATATACCACTGCCACTAATAACTAAAAGATAATTTGTTTGGTAAATTGCTTTGATGCTGATCTCTCATTAGGAAGTGGTTTAATTCCCAAGTATTTTACAAATTCAGCCCAATACAGTAATCTATGGGAGTGTTTTAACATTTCCCTGTAGATATTCAAGGCTTTGTTCCAATAAAATCTTTTAGATAGATGGTTATACTAAATCTCTATCAATATTAATTTCTATTATTTGGGGATGTCTTTAATTTCTTCCTTCCCCTTGAGGAAGCAGTAGATATTTACTGGGTATGTGGATGTTTTTGAGGGTAAGGTAACATTCAGGGTTGGCTTAGCAAGTATCAGCGTGGCTTCTGGCGAAATAATTCCACAAAATTGCTGGGGCTCTTCCTTTGAAATTGCTTGACATCTAGTGATATTTCAGAGTTTTCACACAAGATTTCACAGAAGATCACCAATACGAGTTTAGTGATTTAATTATACATTTTGATTTAATTGAGGTGTGGGCTATAGGTGATATATATTAATAAAACTTTTCAATTTCTGCGTGGAGCTCCTTTCTTCACCCTGTTATTCAGGAATTCTGACTATTGTTGGAACCACCATTGCCAGCTTCCTATTTCTTAAGAAAAACAAATATTCAATTATTGGAAAATAGTTGGTAGAATTATGATATAAGATTTAGAACCAAGGTCAGACAGTTCATGCACTTCTCCTAGCATCCTATTGACCCCAGCATTTCCAACTATGTGGTAAAAATACAGTAGCAAAATAGTTGAATTTGGAAGCTATGATTTTAAATTGTATTGGGAGAATAGATTGGCAGCAGTTTGCCTCCCAGAGTCCTCCTGTTTCTGTTCCCACCTGAAAAATGACATCAAACCAACCTTTCACGCTATCATACGGGTGTCAAACTTGCCGTGTTACGTGACGTTTTGCGATGCTTTTTTCCTTCGTGGAGCTGGGGTGAACGTGGCCTATGTGTGACGCATCCAGCCCGCGGGCTGCCAGTTTGACACCCCTGCACTATCACAAAGTGCTGAAAACACGCAGCTGTGCCTCTTCCACTGAAATCATGGTATCATCAATCACATCCTTGCAATGTTCATGAAGGTTGTTAATTGTGATCCCCAACTCTTCAAACATTACCTAGCATAGCTATCATTGTGGCCCTACTTCTTATGTAGTGAAAACCTATATTGAATAATTTGGTTCTGTCTGGAGAAGGTGATCCTGCAAGTACCCGGAAGCCAAGCCATTTGACACCTGAAAGGTCAAAAAACAGCACTTTGAAATCTAGAGATATTGCTCCAGCATCGCACCATAGTAGGCTGTAATAATTTTCACTTGTCAGCACGTGGGTTTCTGCATTCTGGAATGGGACAACTCACCACAGCCAACTTGCAATGGCCAACTCGCTGCAAGACAACTCACTCGATATTCATTCTTCTTTCCCAACTATTTTATTGTGGACTTGGGGGAGATTACCGTATTCCTATGCTACCAAGCTACGCATGCTCCAATATATCTGACTCATATTTATAAATATTAATTAAAGGCAAGGGGAAAGAATGAACAGGTGTGAAACCCATGGTTTAAAAAGTCACTTTTCCATCACACACCTACAAAACTGAACACCTATAAATAACCTAGCTTTTCATTTTTAAAAAACCTGTTTTATTGAACAACTGTGCAGCTGTGCAGTGACTAGGTTTTGTGAAATTGCGATCTGATATGGCAGTGGGGCTCCTGGCATCTGCCACATTTGTTATGCCACAGGTGGCTTGCAGCATGAGCAAATGCTATTAGTACATATGATAAAACATAGCTATCATTTCCAATTTCACCCACATCTCCTGAAATTAGATACTATGTACTGGTGTAAGACTAAATTGTGTTATAAAGATAGCAATTACCACACTGCATTAGTTAAGGTGTGTCAACTGAACAGCAATTGCAGTTGGAAAAGGACCAGTATGGTGCCTCAGAAATGAAAGTAATGCTAAGGTAGATCTTGCCCTTAAAAAAAATATCTAGATTTGGAAACTCATTTAGATATGAAACTCACCGGGTGACCTTAGAGTAATAATTAACCCTTGGATCAACTTACCACCCAGAGTTAAAGAACTACACATAACTCCTGGAGCTATTTTGCCAGCAAGATGAAATATAAATTATGAATAGAAAAAAAAGAACGTATCAATTCTATGGATAGAATGTGGGATATATTATCTTTATTCTGCAATGGCATACTTTTAGAAATGGGTTCAGAACAACCTTCAAACTCTATGTACTAGATGCTTTTGAACTCTGTTCAGCTAAAATAAATATATGCAATTCCTGAAACTGTTTCTTAAAATATATTTCTTCATAGCTTAGCTTAATGCTGATTGTTTTTATTGTTTTAATGTAAGTGCCTTAAATTATCATCATCAGTCTTTTCACCTTCCTCTTTCAGGGTTCTTTCTTTTAGTTATTTCAGTTCCTACATGCATATATAGGACTTTTGAATGTACACAAAGCAGGTCAAAAAAAAAAAAGACATTAGTAGTCCTAAATTATTCTTAATACGGCTCTGTAGCACTTCACCTTCAATACAAAAATGTCCTTCTGAGATGCACTGGGTTCATCTGTCCCGGTTTCACTTACCTTTGCTACTGGTTCGGAACTGTGAGTGTGTGCTCGCTTCACTTGCCTGAATTGGGGTGACCCGGTAGAAACCCAACACTGATCTGTCCATAGTTTCTTAATCCAAACTTAGTCCTTTCCAGTGGTGGGTTTCAAAATTTTTTACTACAGAAAAAATTTGGTGGGCGTGGCATGGCCCTATCTTTGAACCTGCAAAGCCCTATTTTTTCATGCAAGTTTTTTGTCTATAGTGACATTCTTTAGTTTCCTTTAGAATGCTGGCTGGGGAATTTTGGGACCTGAAGTCCACAAGTTGCCAAAGCTGTACTGTACACCCCCGGTCTAGAGCATTGTTTATGCAACATCGATTTTTCCTCCCTACTATACATTCAAAAAATGTTTTGTAAAAAGTTAAGACAAATGGAAATAGATGCATGGATCATGGAGTTTGGAAGAGAGGGATATATAAGCAAGTTTTTTATTTTACTTTTTTATTTTTTTATTTTAGTTTTATTTTTTTATTTTACTTACTTGTGTAAGTTTTTTGACGCATGGGGTGGGACCTTCAGGTAGACCCAAAGAATGCTGGCTGAAAATGAACACAGATTGGTTGACATTTTTCTGCAAACTCTATTCTTTTAAAAATATAGACATGCTTATGATTCTAATGTTAGGACTATTAGCATAGATCAGAAAAATAACAACTTTTCAAAATTCAAATTCATTTCAATATATATTATAGAAAGTTTGGATGCATAATTATTTTTCTTTCCATGGCAACTTCCAGTGTTGCACAACGTGGAACAGATATAAAGAGTCAGAGGTGTAAGCAAATATCACTTCCCTATTTCATGAGCAGAGAATTTCACTCTCCTTTAAAAGGGACAGCCTTTTTCTAGTTACAAAAATACTATTAGACACAATTCACTAGTCATATATTCTAACAAAATTTGCATATAAACTCTTACTACATATTTACATGGAGCAAAAGCATTTTATATTGGAAAGATAACTCTTGTTATGGAAGTATTTTTAATGTAGTAAATTGAGCCTCTATTTAAAAAAAAAACACCTTATTATTTTATTGCATTTCCAAAATGAGATTCTTCATAGACGGTCCTTGGGACCTTGTTAAACTGAAGTGCTGCGAAGTGCTTTATACTTAAGAGTAGTACCCTAACTTTAAAATACAGTCATCTTCTCAGCCTTATCCAACAATTTGTTCTGTGATGAATCCTCAAACTGAGCCTTGGTGTTTTAATGACTAGAAATCATGAATATTAAACCCAAGAAAAGTTGACAGTATTTAAATGAGCATCATTAACAGACACATAAATTAACAGGATTTTTAGTTCTTGTGGAACTGCCGTTTCAATGTTAATTAAACAACTGGAGTGCTCTTGTGCATTCCCAGCAAACTGTCCCTAATGTGCACTGCTGAATATCATTATGGGTGGTTGACTTGCTGTTTAATTATTTTCAAGCTGATATTTTTCCTCCTGCTGCTGCACTAGTTTTATGCTTGTCTTGCATTCAGAAGATGATGGGAGTTTATTCCCCAAGGAGCCTGTCAGTTTGATCTGCATGTGGGGCTTATACCAAAATACTCATTTTTATAACTACTATAACATGCAGATATAATGTGGCTCCCAAGCCCTTCTGAAAAAAAGGGAGGGGGCTTGATTACTGAATGTGTTAGCTTCGTACATAACAGCTCAGATTTTCAGAGTTTTAGCACACTCTCTCCACCATCATTATTCATTCTGTTCTCAACATGCAGGTGATAAAGAATCTGAATATAAGATGCAGAAGGAAGAGATGTGAGCTAAGATTTTCTATGACTTTGATCTATTATTCTTTGTATATGTCTGCTAAAGTGAGAAACTAAATCATGATCACTCACTGGAAACTCATGTTAGGATATCTTCATCAGATAAAGATGTCAGATGAGGTCCCTCTTTCACACATGGGTGTCAATTTGTTTTTGTACATGGCATGTGGTAGAAGTAAGATTTGATACTCAATAATCATTTTGCTCTTCAACTTTGGCTTTCCCCCCTTAAATTTATCAATAGACAGATGATAGTTGCCCTATAATTTATAATCTTTACTTGTCTTTACCTCTTCTTGTTTTGATTCCTGTTAGTTGCCCCTCTCTCATTCATGAGCCCTTGTGGCTCAGTGTTTAGAATGCAGTATTGCAGGCAAGCTCTCTCCCACAGCTTGGAGTTTGTTCCTGATGGGCCTCAAGGTTGACTCAGTCTTCTATCCTTTAAAGGTCAGTAAAATGAGGACCCAGACTATTCGGGGCAATATGCTGACATTGTAAACTGCTCAGAGAGTGCTGTAAAGCACTATGGGGCAGTATATAAGTCTAAGATCTATTGCACTGATGACTAACCTTTTCTGGACTGAGTGCCCAAAGTGTGCATGTGCACATGCCAATGCACACGTGTGTGCCTGAACCCCCAAAATGCAATGCATGTGCCCTGCACATGCCCCGCTCCCGTGCATGCACAGCAGAGTTCCAAAGATCAGTTGGCCAGTGGGAGGCGCATGCATATGTGCAACATAGCTGAACTGGGGCAATGGCTCAGGTGCCATCAGAGAGGGCACTGCATACCACCTCTGGCATGCATGCCATAGGTTCGCCATCACAGATCTATTGCTTTAAGGAATTCTGGAACTAGCAAATTGAATCTCAATGTATCTAATAATCTGATTTTTCTAGAGAGGAGTGCTCATTCTATTCTAGAGCTGGACTAGAAGACCTCCAAGGTCCCTTCCAGCTTCTCTTCTCTTCTCTTCTCTTCTCTTCTCTTCTCTTCTCTTCTCTTCTCTTCTACTCTACTCTACTCTACTCTACTCTACTCTACTCTACTCTACTCTACTCTATTCTGTTGAGCCACCCTTTAAGAAAACTCACCTCTCCCGAAGCAACATGCATCAAGTTGATGAAAATGAAACAAATGATTTAAGAACAATGTCTGAGATTGAAGCAACTCATAAGTGGAGCTCCATTCATAAGAAGTTGCTAAAGAAGAAAGGAACTGAGGGATTGAAAACTGTCTAGAACAGTGTTCCTCAACCTTGCAACTTGAAGATATGTGGATAGCATGCTGGCTGGGGAATTCTGAGAGTTGAAGTGCACACATCTTCAAGATTCCAAGCTTGAGAAACATTGTTCTAGAAGACTTGAGTGGCAAACAGCATCTGCATTGATCCCAAGAACACTATATGGATCTAGCTATGAACTCAATAGAACTTTACTTGAAGAAGATTTTACTTTTATACAAATATCACTGGCTATAGAAAACCTTTAATCACTTTTGGCCTAATTATTTTTGTGTTCACATGATAAGTAAACAATCATCTTACATACAGTATACTCAATGTATTAAGTTAAACTTCAAACTTTAAGAAATCATAAGCTACAAATACTGGGCTCAAATAACATTTTAGTTTAAAAATATGATTGCCAATATGTAATTGACTAATTTGTGATTCTATGTGTCCTATTAATGTAACCATTATAGTTATTGGTTGAACTACACTGGTGTTTGCTGTAAGAGCAAGTTGGGTCATTTGCAGACATTCAGACAACCAAGATTTTAGAAATATATTTTCTTTGTTCATTTCTTTCAAGGTTTGTTTTCCCCTGTGGCAGTGAAGATCCAGTTAAAATAATAATATTGCCTCATTTGGCTCAGGTTATACTACATAATTACAGAGTCTTTAAAATCGATTCTCAAGTTGAGAGAACTGGAGACAATTTATACTAGAACAGATGGTAGGCCTTCATTTGCCTGTTGACAGGTAGCGTGTTGTCAGCACTTTAGGTTGTTATCATACAGAGAACAGCAGTTTGGTAACTCAGTTGGGACCCTGAAGAAAACACTGTGCAGACACTGTTGGACATTTGCAGGCAAGGGGAGCTATAGAAGAATATGTATGTACATGCAATGTTTTAGATACTGTATTTTCAACATTGATTATATCTGAATCCTGTTTAATTCAATGAAAAGAAATTACTTGTAGCAACCTTGACCCATTGGTGTACTAGACAATTTTAAATTTTCACTTATGCTTGTTAACAATTGATGTCCCCATGACCTTGCTTCTTTTTCATTTGCCAATCCATTTAGAATAAAATAGAATAACACAGTTGGAAGGGATCTTGGAGGTCTTCTAGTCCAACCCACTGTTTAGGCAGGAAACCTTTCAGACAAATGGCTGTCCAATCTCTTCTTAAAAACTTGCAGTGCTGGAGCATTCACAACTTCTGGAGACAAGTTGTTCCACTGATCAATTGTTCTATCAGGAAATTTCTTCTTAGTTCTAGGATGCTTCTCTCCTTGATTAGTTTCCAACCATTGCTTCTTGTCCTGCCCTCAGGTGCTTTGGAGAATAGCTTGACTCCATCTTCTTTGGTGGGTGACCAAAACTGGATGCAGTATTCCAAGTGTGGCCTTACCAAGGCATTATAAAGTGGTATTAACACTTCACATCATCTTGATTCTATCCCTCTCTTAATGCAGCCTAGAACTGTGTTAACTTTTTTTTGGCACACTGCTGCCTCATATTTAAATCATTGTCCACTAGGACCCCAAGATCCCTCTCACAGTTGATATTATTTGCAGCATATTTCTTATATAATACCACTTAGAAGAGAAGAAGCCATAATAATGGTCATAACAAATATTTTCAACATGAGAATTTACATCAGGAATGAAGATCTTCCTCACAGAAAGTAAGCAATACAGCATATCCCAACATTACAGTCTCTTCTCTTTCCATAGGCAAATGCAGTTTAGTAATTAATTCACAACACATATATATGTGTCAGAAATCACAATGATGTCAAAAATAGCAATTTTGTGTTACTACATCAATGTACAAATGATGCAATTATCTGTGTTACCCATTCTTTCCCCTCTGCCTAGAAGTTCATACAGTATATATATGGGCTCAAGGAAGGCATCATCCTCAGGACATCTCTCATGGAGGAGCTGATGTAGGGTGATGTTGGTAAGAATGCTAATCATTTCCATTCATGATCATTATATATTTCATAAATACATCAAATATCAAAATGTCTCCACTTTGAAACCATGCTTCGCCAACACAGTTGATGGGACTTTCCATCTTATGAGGCGAGGTTGTAATGGAGGCAAAAATCTAAATCTTAAAAAAATTCTAAGTATACTTACTTTCCATGGCATGAAACCAACTGAAGAAACTGTCCTCTCAAAGCTCTAAGGCTTTCAGGGGCTTCCTTGTGCAATAATCCCCAGTGGAGGAAACAGGATGTCAGGAAAAACCCATTCTGTTCTGTTTGCTTAATTCTATTCTCATGCAGGAATGTAGAATTTTTTTAAAAAATTAGCCAGGTGGATACTATGAAGAATTTTACAAATATGTTTTTTTGAAAGTGCATTTTGGAAATCTTTAGAATTGTATGTCTTATTTACACACATATCATAAGAAAGATAGTAAACTCAGGAAAAAGGATTCTAAAATGTAAAGAAATTCTATGAAAGTAAAATAAAAAGCACATCAGAAAAAGTTAGATCGAATCTTGATGTGTTTAG